TTTCTACTTGTAAGAAGACTGAAATCATATCAAGAATCTTTTCTGATCATAATGGTATGAAACTAGAAATTAAGAACAAGAAGAAATTTGGAAAATTCACCAAAGCATGAAAATTAAACAGAATTCTCTGAACAACCAAGTAGTCAAAAAAGAAATGAAAGAGAAAGCAAAAAGTATACTGAGACAAATGAAAATAAAAATACAATATACCAAAATGTATGGGATGCAGTAAAAGCAATTCTTAGAGGGAAGTTAATAACAATCATGCCTACGTAAAAAAGAAGAATTTCAAATAAATAACCTTACATTATACATTAAAGGACTAGAAAAAGAATAAGCTATGCCCACAGTTAATAGAAGGAAGGAAATAATAAAGATCAGGGCAGAAATAAGATAGACGCTAGAAAAACAATAGAAAGAATCAATGAAACTGAAAACTATAGTATTATGTAGCAATAGGAGTTAAAAAATTAAAATTAAAAAATTAACAAAACTAACGGTGTTTTGAAAAGATAAACAAAATGGTCAACCATTTAGATAGACTACAAAAAAAGAGAGACAAATAAAATCAGAAATGAAAGAGAAGACATTACAACTGATATCACAGAAATATGAAAGATTATGAGATACTATGAACAATTATATACCAACAAACGGGATCGCCTAGAAGAAATTAATAAATTCCTACACAAATACATCCTACCAAGATTGAATTATTAAGAAATAGAAAATCTGAACAGACAAATAATGAGTATGGAGACTGAATCAGTAATAAATGGTCTCCCATCAAAGAAAACCCCAAGACCTCATGGCTTCACTGCTGAATTCTACCATTATAATAACTAATACCAATCCTTCTCAACTCTTCTGAAAAACTGAAAAGGGAATCCTTCCCAATACATTTCATGAGACCAGTATTATCCTGAAATCCAAACCAGACAAAGACACTATGAGAAAAGAAAATTACAGGCTAATATCCCTGATGAAAATAGATCCAAAATTCTCCACAAAATATCAGCAAACTGAATTCAGCATCACATTAAAAGAATCATTTATGTAAGTAGGGAAAATCTCTAATAATGGAATTACCAGGTCAAAGAGTACTCCCCCCAAACCCCAAATTTTAATACATATTTGAGATTGTCTTCTAAAAAAGTTTGTATAAATTGTCCAATTCTGACAACAAATAAATGTGCACATTTCCCTTGCAACATTGGGTGTTAAACATTCTTTCTTGATGTTGTTTGCCCAGGGCAGTCTTGGTTCTCACCTGTTCTCCTAGTGTAATTCTTAATAGTGGTCCTTTCACTCTTAAAATGGGACCAGTTTGGATGATATATGGTTACTCTACTGAACTTTAAATCTGATACATATTGTCTCTTCCCTAGAGATTCTCCAGGAGGCTCTGAAGGCTTCTGGAAGGACTTGGATTCTCCTCCTTCTCCCTCCCTATTAACCTGCACTGACTCCTTCAGAAGCCGTAGAATTATGGAATGTACCTCTAGCTACGGACCTCCATTCTGTGCAGGTGGATGTAGGAGGTGGCAAAGAAAGTATGCCTGAATGTTTAACCTTGCTGAAAGACAAATGTGCACACAAACACACATACACACACAAAGCCAAATTTGTAACTATGCTGTAATCCAAAGGATAGTCCCTAGCTGTCCATCATGTGACATGCCATAGATGTTGATAAGAGGATCTTAGCACAGGAAGTGGTGTTAGGTAGGATGACCTTTAAGTGCCTTCAGTGTTGAGCTTCTGTAATTACAGTAGTAACAATGAACTTATTGAGGACTTACTGAGTGCCGGGGGTAATTCTAAAAATTTTAGCTATAAAATCTCATTTTGTCCTCAGAGTCACTAAAACAATAATTTAGTCACTGTTTTTAGATAAGAATAACAAATTAGGAACTAAGGCAAAAACAGATTAAGTTAGTTGTCTAATGTGGCACACTTAGTAAACGGAAAGCCCAGATTTCAATAAAGGCCGCCTGAACTGTTATGTCTCTACTTTCTGCTGCCTTCCCTTTTCATGTCAAGGGTTGAGGGGATGGTGGTTGTGGGGGGTCTCTGTCCTCCAGGCTGAAATGCAGTGGCACAATCATAACTCACTACAACCTCCAACTCTTGGGCTCAAGCAATCCTCCCACCTCAGCCTCCTGAATAGATGGGACTACAGGCACATGCACCATGCCCAGCTAATATTTTCTTATTGTTTGTAGTGATGGGGTCTTGCTATGTTGCCTAGGCTGGTCTTAACTGAGTTTAAGTGAGCTCACCTTGGCCTACCAAGTAGTTAGGACTGCAGGTGTAAGGCACCACACAGGCTAACTTTTTAATTTTTTGGTAGGCATGGAATCTCACTATATTGTCCAGGCTAGTCTTGGACTCCTAGCCTCAAGTGATCCTCCATCCTTGGTCTCCCGAAGTGCTAAGATTACAGACATCAGCCACTGTGCCTGGCCTTCTGCTGCCTTCTATTACATGTTTCAGGCATTGAAAATCCACTTACATTTTACAGATTTGATTTCCATTTTCTTTCCTAATAATACTAATCATATTCCTGAAAAGTTGCTTAATAGAAGAGAGAAAATGGCATGCATTAAATTCATGCAATATAATTTTAAACTTTACCATTGAAGAAACTTTCTTCTGCTCTTTCTTGAAGATCTATCTTTTCAGTTATCTATTCATCATATACTATGAGAAGAAAAAATAAATTTATCTTTTCACTTTCCAGAAAAAGTCAATAAAAACTTATATAATTTTTAAAATGTTAAACGTAAAGCATTCATAAATAACAAAAATATTTTTATGCTGAAATTTTAGTATTGTTCCTATTTTAATATTTAGGGCTCAAGTGACTTAAGATACTATCAGCTTGTAATTGACAAAAAGGAAAATATCAGATATTTGACGGTAACCTTAAGACAGGTTGTCTCCAGTGAGAGAAAACCTATGGATGCTTAATGAATGCTTAATGAATCCCTAATCCCAGCAAACCATCTTCTGAATTCATTGTCTAGGAAAGAAGTGTGGACCACGAAGGGCACTATTACCACCACTCCTGAAAAATTTTCTCAATTTTCTTCTTCTCAATTTCTCTTTACAGGTGATGAGTATCACAGTGTACATAACATTTTATAGGCTCCATATTTTCCTATTCCACAATCAGAAGCCTGCTTATCCTATGTCTTGCATATATACTCTGAAAACTATATGCAAATAGCTTACCAATAATCTCCCAATGTGTAAGTCCAGAAGGCACACATGAATCTCTCTCCCTCCATTTTCAGACCCCTTTCTCTTGATGTCTATGACACCACTGTCTCCCACTTTTTAAAAATCTTCTCAACTTATTCTGCAGAACCCTGTTTCATTTACTCAAACCTTTAATATAGGCATTCCCATTGGGCTCTCTCATGGGTAAAAAAATCATCCTGCCTTGTGAATTTGATTACACTTTATTCCCTACAATGAATCTGACAATTCTCAGTCTGTGAAAAGATAACTGTGCCTACTTAAACTAAATAAATACCTAACCATGTGCTCTTTTCAGTGTTTTTCCTGGGTCAATGTACTGTGGAATTTAAAATGGACAGAGAAAAATTGAAATGCAGCATTATTCTCTGCAGCCCCTGGTTTGATTTCTACCCTAGGAAGAAGCAGCATTTGCCCTATAGTTTGGCTCCCCTCCTAAAACAGCCTCTTGAAACATTCATGATCCCATTATCACCCAAACAATTTCTATATAACAAGGTGTAAGAGTTGACAATACGGCGTGTATGTGCTTATCATTTCATCTTTACCCTAAAAGGTTTACTGGGCGTCTCATCCAGATTTTGCAACCTCCAAGTATGGGTCCCAGGCTTTTCTACATTCCCTGTCATTATGTCTCTGCGGCTCAGAGCTCTAAAATAATCTGGAGCCCCCCACCCCGCAAAGTTATTATTATTTTTTTTTTGAGACGGAGTTTCACTCTTGTTACCCAGGGTGAAGTGCAATGGCGCTATCTCGGCTCACCGCAACCTCTGCCTCCTGGGTTCAGGCAATTCTCCTGCCTCAGCCTCCTGAGTAGCTGGGATTACAGGCACGCACCACCATGGCCAGCTAATTCTTTGTATTTTTTAGTAAAGACGGGGTTTCACCACGTTGACCAGGATGGTCTCGATCTCTTGACCTCATGATCCACCCGCCTCGGCCTCCCAAAGTGCTGGGATTACAGGCTTGAGCCACCGCGCCCGGCCCACAAAGTTATTTTTGACAGTAATTATAAAGGACTATGCAGTACCCTTTCCTCAGTCATATTATTATGATGTAAAACTTTTTGTAGTCCAATTAAGTGAAAAGGGGGATCAAGATTTTGACTTCAGTGGGCTTTCAGGATCCAGACCTGGGTAGAGGATTGGGAGTGCTCGCTCAGGAATTGTGGGTGTTCAGCCAAAAGAAGCCAAGATTTGAGTCCTGGATAAGGGGAAGCCTTGTAAGTAACGGAAAGTTTAGAATCAAGTTGAGAAGAGCAGACAGTAGGTTAGCCAAGGAACTAGGTAAGATGAAATGAATTAATCTGGGAAAGCCTGCAAGAATTCCTGAAGACAAAGGTCATCTTTTGTCTGGTTGCTTTTGTAGAGTGGGAGTTGGGGTAGCTGGGGAAGCTATTAATATCCCCAAATGGGCTGAAAAATTTTAGCCCTTCTCTATCAATGTTGTGATTTTACCAATCCGAGTCTAGCTATTGAGGTTACCAAAATGTATCATGGAAATGGGAACAATGAAATCTAGGTTGTTATGAGTCCTACCATACTTTTATTTTTGCTGTTGTTGTTTTCAGAAACAGGGTCTCCTTCTGTAGCCCAGGCTGGAATGCGATGGTGCAATATGCATGCAATGCAAGGTGCTCACCGTAACCTCAAATTCCTGGCCTCAAGCAAATCCTCCCACCTTGGCCTTTCAAAGTATTGAGATTACAGGTGTGAGTCACTGTGCCTGGACCCTACTTATACTTTAATTTTGATGTTTGGAACAAGGGAACAAACTGTTACTGAAGGAGTCTGGGACATTCCATCAAATAAATGAAAACACTTGCCAGTAGCATTCCAGTTGTGAACAGGACCTGCTTCTCGTCTTGCATAAAAATATGCACGATTTCTGTTCAAAATGATAGTGAATTTAGAATTAGGCTTATTTTCAGAATAGCAAAAGTGATAGGAACTATTGTTTTTTCATTAGATTACATTTATGCAATTTTAAAATTTTTAATATTATTTATTTTTGAGATAGAATCTCTCTGTCACCCAGGCTGGAATGCAATGGCATGATCTCAGCTCACTGCAACCTCTTATCCTATTTTTGGGTCCTGTCTATCTTATCTACAGTTCCTTGTTATAAAAAGTGTATAATCTGAACCTCCTGGATTCAAGCAATTCTTGTGCCTCAGCCACCTGAGTAGCTGGGATTATAGGCACTTACCACCATATCCAGCTAATTTTTGTATTTTTAATACAGATGGGGTTTCACCATATTGGCCAGGCTGGTCTTGAACTCCTGGCCTCAAGTGATCCACCCACTTCAGCCTCCTAAAGTACTGGGATTATAGGCATGAGCCTCAGCACACAGCCTTATGTAATGTTTTACCATTGCTTTATTAAATTCTTATTTTATCCCTCCACCAGGAGAATTAAAATATTTAATTAAGAAAAGCAATTAAAATAAATGGAATATAATTGATAATATCAATAAGCTAGCAATAGAATTAACAAATGCTTGTATACTTGTTTGTGTCCTCTTAGTAAGTTATAAGCTCCATGAAGGCAAGGATTTGATATTTCTCTTTTTGATTTTTGTTTTTTTTTTTTTTTTTTATTGAGTTTCACTCTGTCACCCAGCCTAGAGTGAAGTGATGTGATCTTGGCTCACTGCAACCTCTGCCTCCCAGATTCAAGCGATTCTCCTGCCTCAGCCTCCTGAGTAGCTGGGACCAGAGGTGTAGCTACCATGCCTGGTTTTGTATTTTTAGTAGAGATGGGGTTTCACCATGTTGGCCAGGCTAGTCTTGAACTCCTAACCTCAGGGGATCCGCCCGCCTCAGTCTCTCAAAGTGCTGAGATTATAGGTATGAGCCACCACGCCCAGCCTAATCTTTCTTGCTTATTTTTATATCCCTATGACAATGACACTGCTTAGTGGTTAATAAATACTCAAAAAATATTTACTAAAAGAATAGATAAGAATCAAGGAGGCATTGAGTACATGGACAATGAAAACTTGTATTCTCTAACATTTAGAACTTTTTAATGTGCTTTGATTTGTATAATCATAATTGTGGAATAATATTAGATCAAATGTGCCTATAACTATTTTGATATTTCATTGGTCATTCTAGGATATTTTTAAAAAGGAAAAAGTCACGTTTCTAAAACCTAATCAGGATCTTTGGTTTATGAAATGCAGTAAGTCCTTAAGATAAATTCCTCTGTAGAATGCAGCGCTCATTGAATTAACAAGGTCTATAAGATTTCTAGAAGAAATTCAGAAAGAAGAGCTGGTGGATATGCAACAGAATTAAATTAGAACTGAGTACAGTTGTTGGACCATATTTGCAGAGAGCCTTCAGGGTTTTTCATTAAAAATGAAGATAAAGGAAGCTTCACTGATAGATATTTGCTCAGGCCCCTACACTTATGGGCAGAATTTGCCACTTTATTCATAAGCACTATATAAAAAAGTAATGACAAGGAGCCAGGATCCTAAGAAGAAAATACAAAAAAGAAAAAAAATTACAAAACAGCCTCTTTCCACATATGTAATGTGCCCTATTGGTTCTTCTTTCTGATTTGTATGTGTGTATGTGTACATGTGCACACTTGTTTTAGAGGGAAAAAATAAGGAATACCTTCCATTCTATCCTAACTTGTCTTTGTATGCTAATAAGGAAAAGACCATCTCTAAGCCAGAAAAACAGAGTTCTTGACCAAGTTGAGGTCTTAAATAAGCAAGCAAAATATTGCCTAACCCTTATCTTTTGTTTTGTTTTTCTGCAAGCACTATGGTGACTTACCTTAATTTTTTATAAGCACATTTTACTTACCAGTGGACCTATAAATGTGAATTTATCTTATTTTGGGGTCCTGTCTATCTTATTTACAGTTATTTGTTACAAAAAGTGTATAATCTGAAGAAAGAAAATAATACCATACTGGGATGAAGGAGAAAAAACAAATTTGTTGATATGTATGGACTATGCAAATACTTTCCAAATCTGTGAAATCCCTTTGAAAAATTTACTTGAGGTACTCCAGCAAAAGGAAAAAATGAACCTAAAAAGAGGAAAATATGAGACCCCCAAAATTCTCCTAATTCAGCAGAGCAGTAAAAAGAAACTAATTTTTACATGTTAGAACAGGAAGTCAGAAGACTTTAAGAAGAATGTCTATAAGAAGAAAATGAACATATTTTAGCAAATATAAAAATGAGTGATCACAGTGGTGGGACTCAAGATACATGTGTTTTTGTTAATGAGAAATAATGAAGATAATTTAAAATTCTAGAAAATGCGAAAGCTGTATAGGAAAGTCACAAGTAACATGAAGTAAGCTGAAATATAGCATGACTTTGTGAAATAAAGAGTAAGAAAAGAGAATCTATTTGATCTTGACACTTGATAATTCTTTTTCAAGCAATATAGGTTAGCAGCATAGAATTATATTTCCTACTTCCACTTTGGTTCTTTAGTGAACAATATTTTATAATCATATATAAATGTGTGTTATTTTTAGTAGCTAACAAATTTTAGACTCAAATTATAGAGTAAGCATTTCAAGATATAATTATAGCCACAAAACAGAATGTAAATATTTGACAAGGTCAAATTAATGAGAAAGCTTATAGAGTTTAGGAGATAGAGGAAGGAAGTATAGGGATCCAAATTTTCTTATCTTTTATGGGAGAAGGATTGGGATATAGAAACAAAGAATTAAATGGATTACTCAAAGTCAAAATGATAGTCAGCAGGAGAAATATTAGTAATCTTGATATCTAATAACTAAAAATAATGAGAAAAAATAGTAACAACCCTAAAATGATACAATAATAATATCTACTAACAGCAAAATAACAAAAAATGTGTGTAGTGCAAGATAAATTTTTCTGCTTTAATAATGGGGAGTCAATAGATAACATCTAAAGTTAATAAATCATGAAAAGAAAACATACCCATCAAAATCAAATATATAGAGGTAACTACAGAAGAACTAAAAATAGAACCATACTAAAAGGATTGCTTCTGTGAAGAAAGTGTTAGAGGTGGGGTGAGGGATGAGAAAGTTAAACTTTTTTTTTCATTTTACAATTTTCTGTACTTTTTGGATATTTTTTCCTTACCATGTAGATATATTTTTATTACATAAAAAGGTAAAACATTTCCTGATGACTAGCTTAGCATTCTCTTCAATGATATCCCAAAGTTCATTCTTACTAAGGATAAAATGAACATACTCCTGTATGTAAAATTGATAGGCGCAGCAGAACCAAAATAATGCTGTAATTAATATTGCAATGAGTAGAAGCATCACGATTCCAAACATGTCAACTGAAATGTATAAAAAGAAATACATTTTAAGTTAACAGAACATCAGTAATTTCTGCTATTTTCATCTTTTCTAATATGCAATGTGATTCTTTAACAAATGATTATTGAAAGTAACGATAAAATAACATACATTACATATTCCAATAAAACTACCATTAACACAACAATCACATTTGAAAATAATCTGGGTTGCTAGAGGAGGTAACATTTGATTTATTTATTTTTAAATTGGTAAACTACCAGGCTACTGGCTTATTTTTTCCGTTATTTTACCTCTAAACTCATTTCTGGTACTATCTTAATAGATAAAAGAACAAATGCCTCAGGCTGTTATAGCTCTAAAGGTACATATAGATAGCAGGGTATGGTTTATTGTTTGCATTTCAGCAGTCCATTACCAAAGAGACAACCAATGCTTGCTGCGAATGCGTATTTCTACCCCTTGTGAAGTTTTTTTCCCCTGTCTCAGTAAGTACTATGTAGTTTATTAGCTTGGTATGTTGTAAAATGAAACTAGAAGGGCAAACATAAAACTGGAGACTAGAGTTTCTGTTCATACTAGTTACACAAAGTGTAAATTTATAAGGCAAAAACACATATGATTTAAATATAACTGATAGTACCTGAAAGAAACAGGGATTTGAGGGCAAAATTTGTATCTTTTTACCTCAATTAAGGAAAAAGGAAGACAATTGGTTGTTCTAGATTGGGTTTTTCATATAGCTAGGATTTACCTAGAAAGTTTTTTGTTTCAACTCTTTAAGAAAACTTTTTAAATGGTAGTGGTATGTTTTTCTGCCTTGGTCAGTACTGTATAACATACTAAAAGTCCACCATTTGAGTATAACTTAAAGATTCTTTGATGCTTTATATTTGTCCAGTCCTAGTGAATCATTATTCTGAATAGCAATTCTCAATGTAGAATATGTTAGCTAAGAAAATATAAATTATAGCAATGTATCTAAACACAATATATCCTCAGACAAGTACTAGCTTATTTAAAAATTCTGGAATTCCTAAAGTGGCATAAGAATACAAACATCCTTTAAGTGAGTTACGGATATCATACCCCAGAGATTTTTAGAAATGGAAATTTAAAATAGTTAGCAACTGGTATGGCAAAGGATCTATCAATCAGAATGAACATTGACTTAATTTGAATGAATATTTGCTGCAAACAACCAATAAGCTTATATTAGGAGGTGAGACTAATGAGCATCCCTGGACTTGCTATGTTTTTATTTTTATTTTACTTAAAGTTCTGGGATACATATGCAGAATGTGCAGGTTTGTTACATAGGTATACATGTGCCATGGTGGTTTGGACTTGCTATATTTTAATACGTAAAGCAAATGTAATACTTTACAATCCTTCAAATGTTGCAAATTGCTAACATTTGCAAGTTGACTGAAATAAAGAACATAAAAATTTAAATAATGACAACTCACCTTTACAGTTTAACCAATATACAGAACTGAATCGACACCCAAAATATGGAAAACAATATTTTTTGCATGCCTTTTCTTCACTACACCAAATACACTATATTTGGAAAGAGAAAAATAAAAGTGTTGTCCAAGTATAATAACCACAATCCCAGGAAGGTTTCAGTACTAATTCAATAAGTATTCAATATATAGTAGCCATTATTCAATATATAATAGCCATTATCCTTATAATAATAATAATTATTATTATTATTATTTGTGCGAGATGCCATTGGTGACTTGAGATCTCCCTTGTCAAGCCCATGTAGCCAAACCTCGGCTGCAAAGAGTTTTGGCTGCCAATGGCTCACAGCTTCCCCTCTTCTTGAATGAAGAATGGGGACCACCTAGCCCATGAGGTTACTATTTCCCCAGGCCAGTGAATGACTGATATGGGGTTCCAAACAGTGGGCATTGTTACCTCGAGGCAGGGACAACTCTGCGAGGCAGGGACAACTCTCTGAGGCAGGGAGAACTCTGCTGTGTAATTTTTTTTGTTTTTGTTTTTTGTTTTTGCCCAAGGGCTGCCCATGATTAAGGCCAAGAGCGGACTTAAGCCAAGAGCTCATCTTTTCTTGGCTCTTTCCCCTTATCTTCCCTGAGTCTCTCACTCCATAGGATTTTGCTGAAGAGTAGTCACCCAAAAATCACATGTACCTGAATCCCTTTCTCAGACTCTACAATTAGGAAACAAAACCAAAGATATTATTTCACAAAGTTGTAATAAGGACTGCGGTAAATAGTTTTAAAATCTCTCCATCAGGCGGAGGTTGCAGTGAGCCGAGATTGAGCCACTGCACTCCAGCCTGGCACCTGGCGACAGAGCGAGATTCTGTCTCAAAATAAAATAAAATAAAATCTTTCCATTACTCTTTCCATTCCTCTTGCCTGCATTCCCCACTCTTTTCTCTGGGATTGCTCCTCTGTTACACGTGGCCCAGCCAGTGCTGTCAACAAGCCTTACCTCACCCCTCTTCCCACATGGCTCACTGGTGCTCAGATAATCATGTGGAAATAGAAAAATGGAATTCTAAGTCCCTTAAGCAAGGCCTAAAGGTGAAAAACATTATGGGAGAAAAGACTAGAAGAGCCTGGAAGAGTTAAAAAAAAAAAAAAAAATGAGGACAGAGTGGTAAAAATGGCTATCACTTACATAGGGCCTACGATGTGACTGGTACTATTCTAAGTCCTTTATATATATCCACTCATTTCATACTCATGACAATCCCATGAGCTAGGTACTATTATGTCCGCTTCATAGAAGCAAACAAGAAGGCACAGAGAAGTTAAATGACTTATATAAGATCAGATACCTAGTAAATAGGGGAGCCTGGGTTCTAATCTAAGTAGCCTGATTCTGTGCTGATAACCAATCCTATAAGATTGAACCCAGACCCCACCTGATCACTTCTTGCTGTATATCCTGGGACCAGGTGAGGTAATGATTCACCCCAATGTAAAGAACCACCCCTTAGACACTGCCTGAGTACCAAGGCTATATCACAGGCCAGCTTTTGTTTCACATTGGCCAAGACTGAAGGTCAAATCAAACCATTTAGGCAAATCTAAGATTGAAGCCACTTTCACCGAATGAGTCTTGTCCTCCCAGACGGTTGCTGAAGGACTGGAACTGCAAAGACAAAGTCTAGATTCAAAGATTACAGCCCACAGAGACTTTTGGCCTTGGTTATTAGTACTCAGAGTCTCTGGGAATCAAGTCCAAGATCTAGCAGGGCTTTAAGGGAAATGAATTGCCAGAAAAAAATCTGAACCTGCAGCTAAGAGATATATGCACCTAAGTGCTAAGCTGATTCCCAGGCCCCAGTAACCAAGTCTACCACAGGTAAACTCCTAAAGAAGTGCAGGCCCCAGAAGAGACGATCTCCTCTACGCCTCTCTGGTGGGGACTCAGAAAACTATGGAAAAGAAACTCCTTCGGTAGCAGCTAGACTGGCGACCAACAACTCACTGCCCAGCCAGGAAACTCAACAATGTAGTACAGACTCAGAACATACTATAGGATTATTGGCCTCTATCTTTCTTTCTAAATGGGAGCCTTTACTGCTGTTATCCTGCTTTATCTCTTCTATTGAACAGTGGGTCTTTGGGAGTTGGTTTAACAGATTATATAGCGGACTTAAAGGAGTGCCTGGAGCCATATTCAAACACAATCAAGAGTAATGCATATCTCTCTGAGATTTCAGACTTAGAGCTGGGGGCAGTGACTGATAGTGACTTTGAATAAGTCCAGTTGCAGTTGAGATTTAGTTGCATTGTTTCGCCAGGAGCATTTTAAAAAATACTGGGATGGGAAAAATAGAATATGCCTGTCCTCAAAGGTCAAGGGTGAAAAAGGTAGACTGAAGTCGTTTATTTTTAAAATCTGTCTGCTATTTGTGTCCCCATTCTTCTTTTTCTGGTAATCACGCCTTCATCTATTGAGGACCTCTTCCCCAAACCTTGTGTGGTCCTGTGGCTGCCAATAAATTTTGCTTTACCCCGTTCCTACTACTGGAATGGTCTTTTGACCAAGGCAGTAGTCCAGTAACCAATGCTGGACCAGACAAAAAACCCCAATAGGGCCAATCAGAATCTTCTTTGCAGTTGTATACAGACATTGGGTTAGATCTTCTGGCAGCCAGCCTCTTGCCCAGCCATATGGAGAATGTCTTTTTACCACAAGAGAAAATAAAATCAATTCCCAGAGGGAGGCAGAGCTGAGAGATGAAAGGAAAGAGGAAAATGCGAAGGACATCTTTTGGTTCAGTTGTGCAAGAAAGCAAGGCCACACCTGGTCTTTCTAATATTGTGAATCAATGAATTCCCCTTTTTATTAAATTGGTTTGAGTTTGGTTTCTGTCCCTTACCACAAAAATATGTGACTAATACCTTAACTAAACCTAAAAAGTTATCCAAGACCAGAACTTCACATTGCCCCCAAGAACAGTATACTATATTCAAAATTCCTAAATTGGTAATGTATAATTTAAGGCAAATTACATGATTTTTTTTCTTGTAGTTAAGGAAAATAACCCATATAAATATGAAGCCATCAGCCTCTTCGGAGTGTGACAACTGAGAAGCCACCTAAAAGGCTTTAGGGTGATGGTTAGTATTATTTCATGGGAAAATTATAGTACTCATTTTAGGGTAGAACTGTTTTATTAAGTTTATATGGACATTACAATTGCTATTTTAATAAAAAGATCATTAAAATTAAAACATGCAGAAAGTGGGAGGGTACATAATAATGTTTAGTGGTTAAGGTTGTATAAATCAAATGGCTTAATATTATATCAGCGGTTGGGGGATGGGATGTGTAGAAAATCTAGGATTGTTCCAGGTGAAAGAAAAGAATGGAGAGCCGATGGAGGAAAAAAGAAACAAAAAGCCAATGATTTCTAAAATTATGAGAGAATGGTACCAGAAATAAACAAGTAAAGAACATGAGCTTCTTTGGGGAAGGCAAAATTATAAATTTAGTTAAAGAAATTTTGAGCATGATGTGANAAAAAAAAAAAAAAAAAAAAAAAAAAAAAAAAAAAAAAAAAAAAAAAAAAAAAAAAAAAAAAAAAAAAAAAACTATCCAGAAAGAAATGCCAATCAAGCAGCTGTAAGCATCACTATTGGGGGTCATTAGGTTTAAGGATGTGAATTTGGAATTTCTTTATATGCAGGTTGTGGTAGAGACCAGGACTGTGGAAGAGGTGGCACAAGGAAGTGTGAAGAAATTCCCTCATTTAGGAAAATAAAGAAGAGGAATTGGTAAAGGAAACAAAATGATGAGGGAAGAAACAAGTCCTGTATAAAGCCAAGATCACCAAGGAAGGAGCAAGTTTCCAAAAGGAATGAGTGGTTAATTTGAAAGGTTGTTGCATTTGGTTAGAATCTTTTGTAACCTCTAAATCAGGTTGCTAAGGATTAAATCACACTGTGTGACACAGAAGCAATGGTAAAATAAGCACAAAATAAGTACTTCAGCTTCTAGAAAGAAACAAAGAGAAGATTTGGATTTGTTTGTTTTTTCCATTTTGTCTGAACTCAGAAGGAAGCCAATGCACAGAAACAGGCTGGATTTGTCATAGAGGGAACAAGGTAATGAGAAAGGTTTTGAGTTTGTGAATGTGCATGCGTTTCCGAGTATGACACATACATAGAGGTGAGCACTAAGGGATTCACCTCAGAAATGAGAATAGACTTCTCAAGGGGAAGGTCAATGTTAGAGAAAAGATACTGAATTGGTTCAGTTGAAAAATAAGGAAACCTGAACCTGCCAGATGGTCTTAAAATTCTCAAGGAAAGTCAGACCCTGAAAGGAGGATCACGCCAACAGCGGTAAAGTGCTGGGAATAGTTGTCATGGGAAATAATCCACGACATTGGTTGTCCGTATATTTTTTTCCAGCAGAAGGACTCCCAACAGGTGATATCCACATGTTCACTGGAATATCCAGATTTGGATCCATTAGCTTCCATTATCCCCAACTCCATACCCTAACACACACACACACACACACACACACACACACACACACAATTTTTCAGAAAAATAAATATCAAAGTGGGCATCTCTTTGTGGGTTGTAAGAAATGACATTTATAAATGCATTTTACAAGCATATGAGCAATCATAATTTCCTATGAGCTGTACAATAGATAAGGTAGGCTGTGGCAGATTCAACAAATCCTACTGGGCTTGCTATAACTTGACTCCTTCTTGTCTCAACCAACCATCTATATCAGGTCACAATTAGTAAGAAAGATGTGATTATGGAGAAAACCTAGAATCTATTCCAATATTTTATTTGTTTAAGTCAGTTGCAAAAGTCAGTCTTACGATGCTCATTAGCAAAAAGCAAAAAATGTGCTTATGACAAGTCTCACCATTGTGACACCATAATTGAGAACTTTGGTTCCAAGGATTCAACGGGGATGCAAAATGACTTTGAATGGCAATGAAAGCACAGATAACGAGATGCTCCACCTTTTTTAGTTAGCCTGGTTTTTAAAATTTTATTTCTAATAGAAAATATCAACAAAAATACAATATGTTTTTCATATACTATGTTTATGAGTTGTATGCGTATGGGGAGTTGTAAATGTGATTTTTATGACTGAGTTTTTGGTAAGAATGCTTTCTAACTCTAGGAAGGCTAGTCCTATACTAGGAAATCACAAGGAAATGTTTCAAATAGAATCTAAGGAAGATTCCCTTTCAGTTAAGAAGAATAAGCATATCATTTATCATCCAAATTGGAATATTTTGGGAAATGAAAAGGAGCTGCTATATATTTTCTCCAGATCAATGGAGAAATGGGCATAAAGTAGCACAATATACAAGACATCTGTTCATCCTCTTTTTAGTCTAAAAAGAGCTCAAATATTCTTGGTTGCTTCATGAGTTAACATCTTATAAACTCTGACACTTTCTCTGGGAGTATAAGAGGTGGCGGAAACTACCACTAAGAGCTTTGCAACCTTCCAACTTCTGGGAGAACAGGGGATCTTTTTCCAAAGGATAACACCCTAATTCTATGTTGACCATGTGGAATTATCTCTTAGTTCATTTCTATGAGGTATTGGAAATATTTTTTAAATTACACTCAAATACACATACTCCCAGGGTTTTCATAATGACTGATATTTAAAAACAAATTTAAATTCTCTACCTTGTTTCATTATAGAGTACAGTGAATTAATTTACCCTTCTTTGAATGCGTCAAGAGTTAATTCAATAGTTATTGAATGATTGCCATGTGTGGGAAAGGTGTGAGGTGTTAGATATGCAAAGATGAATAAAACGTGGACTCTGTCCACAGGGAGCTGAGAACAAGGAAAAGGTGAACATAAAAACAATTCAAATAATATGAGTTACAATTCAAAAATGTACATGTTCAAGTCTGAAAGAGAGGTATAGGGGAAGTGGAGGAGGTATTCTTCCTCTAAAAGGAAGAATAAGAGTAAGTAATGTTGGATGAAAATGACAGCAATGTTATCAGTTGGGGAATGACGTTTATATGTAAGGTGTCAATTTTTTTCATAAAATTGGAGATAATTACATCTGTTGATATTGATGGGATGAGGGAATTGCTGCTGTGGGAAATTTTAGGCAATGTTGCTAACCAAAAGCAAGGATGGGTAATATTTGGGCTCAGGTGAGATCAGAAGTTTTGACTTTGTAGTTGTACTAATGCAGATGTTGATGAAATATGCTCAAGCAGCAATCAGCTAGTAATGTACAGCAAAGGAAAATATAAACCAAAGGACAAAACCAATCAGAGCTGTGGAACATGGATCCAGAGCAGTTAAAAAAAAAAAAGAGGACGTAGGCCGGGCGCGGTGGCTCAAGCCTGTAATCCCAGCACTGTGGGAGGCCGAGGCGGGTGGATCACAAGGTCAAGAGATCGAGACCATCCTGGTCAACATGGTGAAACCCTGTCTCTAC